ATCTTAGTTTTTATTTTATGCAAAACATTTTCGTCTCGTCTTTTTTCGTCAACAATAATCCATGTTAATTTAGTCTTAGTCAGCGTTTTTGGACAGTGGTGCAGTCTTGTCATCGTCTCGTCTTAGTCATGAAAAAAAGGTCGTTGACGAACATATTTCGTCTCGTCTCGTCTGACGAAATTAACACTACTTTAAAGCCCAACCCACTTTCCACACCAGAATACATTGATTTGCTGATTGAGAGTGAAAAGGCAGAAGCTAAACCTGGATTCATGGAGCGAATTAAGTACCTTGAAGCTATGAAAGAACAAGCAGTGATCATACAAAAGGTCATCAATAAAGAAGAACTTTTACCATCCGAGGCAAGGATGTATAAGGCAAAAAGAGAAAGACAAGAAGAACAAAATACATTTGTTAAGGTAATGAAAGGCTTCGCATCCTTCTTCACAAGGAAAAAGCATGACTGTGAAACAGTGTCACCACAAATGATTGCAATCACAAATGATTGAAAATAGAATTTCAAAAGACAAGAAAATTACTATTGTGTCTCTTGACAGCTGAACTTAATGTAGAATGTAGTATTGAATTTAAATTGGATAGGAGATGTATTTACCTTTATATCAGTGTGATGTACTTAAATGTTTTCAATACAATAAAAGTTAATGGTGACTGTGTGGTAGGAAAATTGGACATTGGTAGGCCCTGGAGGGGAGGCATATTGGGTCTGTTATGTCTTAGGCCTTAGGCAAGAAGAGATTGTTTTGAATGCTGTGTGTCTTCATCTCATGATAGCTGCCTGCGGTTAGTTCTGCAGACCCTGAAAAGAGATCGGACCTCTCTTACACCAGACAGTGGTGTAAGAGAGGGGAGAAACTGTCTGCAGGAAGGGAATCGAAGCTGCCCTAACTGGTGCACAAAGAGTTGTAGTTATAAAATAGTTGCAGTAGATAATACACAGTATGTTATGCAGTAGTGTAGATGTATAAGTAATTGTTATGTTAATCATACTAATCATATGTTAACCATGTATTTACTGTGATTCAATGACAATACGTCAATGTGTTCATCATTAATCAAAGGACAACCAAATATTTACAGTGATTCAATGTCATACAGTATAATCAATATCTATATACATATCTCAAGTAGAGTCTAGCAGTCGAGACAGATTCCAGTAAATTGAGCAAATTGGATGCTACCAAGGTGAACCAACAGAGCAGGAGAATTGTGTTTGTTATACGTTTGAGCTTGTTGGTGTTCTGTGACCAATCAGGACTTAGAAGTCCTTACAGGGAATTGGGAGTTATGGTTTATCAACTGGTTGCTCTTTGTGCTCGAGGTAACTTGGTACCTAGTGCCAGAGTGTGATTGGAGCACTTTGCTGGATTGCTCAAATAAAAGAGATTACTTTACTCACAACTGAGAGATCCAGAGTTTTATTCTAGGTGACTCAACTAGAGTTATCAGAGAGGTTGATTTATAATTTCTCTACCACAACTGAATGGCGCTGTGTACAAGAAATTACTGTGTCTTAAAATGGATTTTAAACTATGATTTTACTTATCGATATTTTCATCCATCTTCCATAGCCCTGACTGGGATACCAGTCCATCACAGGGCTCACTGATATTCACTTTGTATACACTTGTGTTTATTACGAGAGGAACTTCACAACACAAACACAGGGAGAACACGCAAATTTCACATGTGCATGGAGCCAGGGGCAGAAGCCACTGTGCTGCCTTGGTTATATGAACAAGGTTATACAGTACATGTAATTAAGGGTTATTACAGTACATATAATAAGGGTTATACAGTACAGTGGTACCTCAGAACTCGAACTTAATCCGTTCAGAACTCTGTATCGAATAGGTCGAGTTTTGATTGAATTTTCCCAATAAGAAATAATGGAAAAGCAGTTAATTGGTTCCTGACCCCAAAAAATTAAACCTAAATATGTTTTTTTTTTTTAGCATTTAAACACGAAATGAACCGGATAAAATAAGAAGAGCATATACTGTGCTAAACACATCTAAGCACATTTATCAAAACAGTAATTTGTAAAGTAAGAAAATAAATGTATCCAAACAATGTGCCCTGCCCCGATTGTCCGCTCCTTCTGTGTGCCACGCCCCCTCATTAACCACGTGTGGAATCGTGTGATCAGCTGTTTCTGGTTGTTCTGTGGTTAGTCCGCTGTATTTAGCCTGCGTTTCAGTTTGTTTACACAGTCCGGTCATTGTATTGTCCGTCTGCGTTTTGCCTGCCTTACCTGTAATTAATCCCCGTATTCCCCAATACCCTGACGTCTGCGCCTTTGTCTCCGGTCCGTCTCCGATGGGCAGGACAATATTATTATAATTAAATGTATTAATGGTTTATTATTAATATTAAAATAATTAATAAGAAATCTTTCTTTTTAAATGCATTTTATTATGTAATAATAATTACTGTTACTGTTTATCATTGTCTAAATGTATGTATTCAGCTAGTGTAAACATGCACGATGCTATCACAGCGAATGCAAGAGTGAGACTGAAGCATTACCCTTTGTTTCCGCTGAGAGACTTGCCGCATAACTCATTTCCTCGCGTGTTATCTTAGGTCAGTGTTCACGGTTTGACTTCTGAGATTCAGATCGAGTTCTAGGTAATTTTTTTTTTCGAACTGGTTGGTTCGACATTTAAGAAATTCGAGTTCTAATGAGTTCGAGAACTGACGTACCACTGTACATGTAATAAGGATTATATAGTACATGTAATAAGAGTTATTCAGCACATGTAATAAGGGTTGTACAGTATATGCAATACGAGTTATACAGTACATGTAATTGTTACATGCATCTACATTGATGTCCACCAGAGGGCATTTACATTAATGTGCTCAACTGGTTTCTCCAGATGAACTCTAGCATGAGTTGTTTCTGAAAATCACATATACTTTTACTCTGCTCCAGAAAAAGAACTATTAAGTATGTAGATATTTAT